CCTGAGCTGAGATCAAGAGTTGGACGCTTAACCTTCTGAGCCACCCACCCAGGCGCCTCACCAAATTAATAAACTCTTATGTAAACTTTCAAAAGCACAAATCACAAGGCCAACAAAAAAAAAAAAAAAAAAAAAGAGACAGAGATTAATTTGATTATACCAAATGAAGGATTTCTGTTCAATGAAGGATTGAGTTAACACACATAATCAGAAGATAAAATTGGTCACAGATCAATACCTAGAACTCCTGAAAATCAGGAAAAATAGAGTAAACCTAATGTTTAAAAAAGAGCAAATGAAGTGAACATGCAATTAGGGAGGAGAAAACCTCAAAAGTGAATATACCAAAGTCCGCAGTTATTGGAAAAATACAAGATCGAATAATGAGATGACATTTCATACCTACTGGAAAGCTGGATAATGCTGCAAGATAGGAGTAAGGATTTGGGGATTCACATCTGTGTGGGTGTAGAGGTCAGGGAGAGTAGAGCATGCCAGTCCCACAGGAAAGCAATCTGGCAGTCTTTAGATGTAAGGATACACATCCCTGGGACCAGCAATTCTGCCGTGGGGTATGGATCCCAAAGAAATCCTCCTAGGCAGGAAGTGGAGGAAGCTATTCAGAGCAGCCTATTTGTGTAACTGCAGCATAACTGGTGCCATCTCCAAAACCGTCACCAAAGAGCAGATAGTAAAATGTACAGAGATCTCTGTGGAGCACAGTACACAGCAGACACAGGATGACATGAACAAAGTGAAAACAACCAGTTTAAAAAAGCAGAATCAGACCTATAAGTACAGAGAACAAACCATTGGTTGCCAGAGGAAAGGAGTATGGGGTTGGGCAAAATGGGCAAGGGGGAGTGGGAAAACAGGCTTCCAGTTATGGAATGAAGTTACAGGAATACAAGGCACAGCATAAGGGCTACAGTCAATGATACTGTAACAGTGTTGCGTGGTTGTATGATGACAGATGGTAGCTACATTCGTGAGTACAGCAGAATGGCATAAACTTGTCCAATCACTACCTTGTAACTTGAAACTAATGTAACATTGTGTGTCAAGGATACTCAGATAAAACTAAAACAAAAACCCACACAACCAGTTTAGGGCAAAAGCAAGAAACAGAATGAGCTGAGCAACAGGAGGAGTTATATAAATTACATATTTATATATAAACTATATATATATAATACATAGTTATATATTTAAAACATAAGAACCCTAACTATATATATGGGCACATGGGTGGCTCAGTAGGTTGAATGTCCGACATCGGCTCAGGTCACGATCTCTGGTTGGTGAGGTCCAGCCCCACATCTGCCTCTCTGCTGTCAGCCTGTCACACAGAGCCCACTTCAGATCCTCTCTCTGTCCCCCCTCTCTCTGCCCCTCTCCCGCATGTACTCTCTCCAAAACAAATAAATACTTGAAAAAAGAAAAGAACCTTAACTATAATAAAGGTTCTGGAAGTACACACAGGAACAAAACATGAACATCAGACAGAATGGCTGCCCATGTAGGAGGTGGGGAATGTTGATGAGAAGCGATTTGATTAGAGGTCCGCTGGGAGAGTTAAAGGCAGGGGCCCCAGTCCCCACCCTGCCTGCTGGCTCAGGCACCAAGGGCCCGGGCCTGGCTGTTTGCTAAGGCTTCAGCTGCAGTCTTTCAGACAGAAAGTTGGATGCAGGGGCAAGCACCTCAGAAGCAGGCTGGCTACAAAGGAGGCTGCCCTTCTCCACTGAAGCTATTTCCTCACAGCCCACTCTGAAGGCAGGAAGCCCACCTCAGGGCATGAACCCCTCAAATTGTGTGCTTTGGTTCAAAGTCCACTCGACGAGTAAAATAGTTTAGAAAATGGGGCTTAGGAAAGACAGTGGAGGGGGCAGAGGAGGGATGGTAGAGTGTGCCAGGCAGTCGGAATCGGATAAACTAACACTGTAAACCCAAACCTTCCACTGTTTTATTTGCTTCCTGGCAGCGCATCCAGAAGTAACCTTTACTGAGGACTTACTATGACCCAACAGGGTGCTAGGGATTTTTACACTTGTCTTACATACTGTTCACAAAAATCCAACACAGGGGTGGGAGTTATCCCTCTTGTTTTACAGTCAGGAAACAGGGGGCTAAGAGAAAGTACCCCAGCCAAGCTCACACTGTGACTGCATCCACTTTGTCTTCCTCATGCCTTCAGGGGCACTAATCCTTCCATGGAGACAGCTAGCCAACTAGTGGCTTCTGACATTCTCCCTCTAGAACTTTCTGCCCAGCAGCTGGGTTTAGGAGGTTTCCAGGCTTGCCCCAGGCCCTCCAGAGGTATGAAAAATGTTCCAGCAGCTCTGGCTGGGACACACAGGTCTAGAAAGTCAACACCTCTTCAGAGGTTCCTGCTCTAGGGAACTCCTAGGGTTGAGCTAGATTCTAGCAGCTTCCTCTTTGCCCTCTATACTCTTGAGTCCTTAGACGTGGCTCCTCTAACCAAGTCCAGTTTCTAGAGAACTGGAAATGCCCCTGAACAACTCTTTTCCATCCTACCCTAAATCTCCAGCTTCCTGGGATTTAACCTGTGGAGGGTGAGTGGGTGGAGTGAGGGAACATTTATAACAGAACAGCAATAAATTCCCTGAGAGTAGAATAATATAAACAAAAAATGACAGTGAAAAATCTCCTTATCACACACTAAAGCATAACAAGACTAGAATTTTATGCAGGTCAAATCATGTTTGTCAAACCCCACAACTGCAGAGTAAGTCCTGATGAGATACTATCAGGAACATGGCCATCAGCCTTCCCCCATTTTATCTCCTGTTAACATATAGTAGCTTATTTTTCCTCAGGCCTCAGTCCAATGATTTTGAGTAAAACTTAAAATAATTGCATCCAACAAAAAGCATTCTAAATAATTTCCAGTGGTGAACTGCTGTAACTTGCAGAAAATGGTTTCAGCCTCAGCCAGAGTTCTATCATAAATACTTGATATGGTGATTAATATCATGGGATCAATTTGACTTAAAGAGGAAAACATTAGTATTAGGGAAAACTAGGAATTCTCCATTTTTTTTTTCCCCCACCTAAAGGAGTTTACATAGCCATGGAGAAAAGGATGCCACAAGAAAAAAAGTTGAGAGTTGTGGTTCACATGATATCAAAACAAACTCACATAATGTTTATTTTCACTTCTGGGAGGAAATGAAGACGTAGACTAGTTAACAATTCAATTCAATAAATATTTATTCTGTCAGCATCGCACACAAAACACCAGGTAGGTTGGGCTGTGGAAATACCAACGCTAAGAGACCATACAGGGTTCTTGAGACCCATCATTCTTCTGTGGGGTCCAGACAGATGCTGGTGAGCCGCCCCCACTCCATCTGTGGACTTTCGGGGTTTAGGGATCTGTTTGAATTGTTGTGCTTTCAGTGACCCTGATAACCTTATGACCAACAATCAGAATGCAGAGGAGCTCTCTCTGCCCATCTCTCACCTCTCTGAAATGAGCTTTCTTTTTGGCAGAAAAAAGCCAAACAGCTCTACCTTATCATCTTTTCCCATCTTCCTCTCTCCACGTTTCCAGGGAAAAAATAACTTCTGTGCTCTCCTCATACCAAGTGTATTGTTAGCCCTCTGTATCCCAGCCTGGACCACACCTCTCCTTCCTTTCCCTGTACGTGGGCTCCACAGATTTCCCTGCTTTGTTCTTCCCTTATAAAGCTCTTAAGATTTCTTATCACCAGTTACTCCACAGAATCCCTTTAGTCTAGGATTTTACACAGGGTTAAAGTTGGGTGGTGGTTTGATTAAAAAAATAAACCAGATATATGTTTTGGGCATATTTATGACTGTGAAACCCCTCCCTGCTCATTTTCTAGAAAGGAGTCCAAGAAGTAAGGCATTGCCTTTAACAGAGCATTTGGGAGCTTGGATTTAAAACTCTTGCACATGTTTTAAGAGTGCCTCATCTCTTTTTTTTTTTTTTTTTAATTTTTTTTTCAACGTTTATTTATTTTTGGGACAGAGAGAGACAGAGCATGAACGGGCGAGGGGCAGAGAGAGAGGGAGACACAGAATCGGAAACAGGCTCCAGGCTCTGAGCCATCAGCCCAGAGCCCGACGCGGGGCTCAAACTCACGGACCCTGAGATCTTGACCTGGCTGAAGTCGGACGCTTAACCGACTGCGCCACCCAGGAGCCCCAAGAGTGCCTCATCTCTTAAGTTGGATTCCCTTCCTGTATCTCTGCCGCCAAAGCGATTTTATTGAAATCCTCTGAAACCCCAGTGTTCCAGCATTTTGGGTCTCTCTGGAAGTTTCTTTCTTTTGTTAAAAAAATATAGAGTAGTATCTGGTAATAAAAGTAACATTTACAGAGGCCACACTGTGTGCCAGTCAACCCTCTGAGGCAGATACAATTATTCTCCCCATTTTATAAAGGCTGGAATTGAGGCACAGAGAGACAGTAAATAACTCGCACACAGAAGGTAGTTGCACCAGGAATCTACCCCAAGCTTGTGAGCGTAATCGGGCTCAAGCTCCAACATCAAAGGCATCTGCAATCCATTCTTATCTTGTCTCCCTTTTGGAGCCCATGACCAGGGCACTGTACCCAACCTCTTTGAGTTGAGTTTTCCTTCCAATAAAAACGAAATAAAACATTCTACTCCTGACCCTGGCTTTGGATAACTGCCACTGCTCCCATGTACCCCAGCTGACTCCCCTGGGAGGTACGGCTGTGTCCCTCTCCTCTAAATGCCCCCCCCCCGCGGGGGGGGGGTGTAACCAAACGCATCAATCCATTTAAAAAGAATCATCCAAAGGACTTTTATGTATCTACCCGGCACGCCGGCGGGAGCGTCGCTTTCTCCCCACAGCGCTCTGCGTCCTGTTCCGGGCCGGCCACTCGATGCCCCGCCGTCCGCTGCTCCTCCGCGCTGGGTTCCCTCTCGGTTCGGGACTCCCACCCCAGGGCTCCCCAGCCTCCCCGCTAACAAGGCGCCCTCTTACCATGGCGTCGTAGCGCAGGGCGTTCATGAAGTGCGCCACCTCGGCGCCCTTGTACACGGTGAACCAGATGGTGCCCTGGTACTGGTCGCCGGCGTCGAGCAGCAGCACGTGCGGATCGGCGCGCCGGATGTGCTGCACCTTGGTGAAGAGGCGCGCCACGCCGCCCACGCAGCGGCTGGCGTTGACGCACTTGCTGGAGTCCTCGCTCGTCTGCTCCAGCCGGCTGTGCACGTCGTTGGTGTGCAGGATGGTGAGTTCCCAGGCGCCGGCCGCCGGCCACAGCAGCGCGCCCAGCGCGAGGAGCCTCAGTGCCGGCGCCCGTGAGGCTCCAGGGCCCATGGCTGCGGCGCGGGGAGCGGGGAGTGAGGACGGGCCGGGCGAGCGGCGGCGAGTGGCGGCGGGAGCTGGAGCTGGGCGCCCTTGCCGGCGGAGCTGGGCGGGGCGGGGGCGGGCTTCCCTCGGCCCGGAGGCCGGCCCCACTGCCGGGCGCACGCCCGCGCGGTCACCCGATCCGACCCTGGCGCCCGGGCTGGCGGCTGGCACCCGCTGCCGGCAGGAACAGTAGAGAGATTGTTCCCGGCGGGGAGCGGGCCGCCGGCCTCGATGCCGGGGTGCCCGCAGCCCCACAGCTGGTGCGCTGCCTTTCCGGGGTGCGAGGGAGGAACCGGAGGGGCCACCCCGCGTCTAGGTCCTCGCAGTTTCCAGCCTCATTTGAGGCACGAGTTTTTCTCAAGAGGAAAGCACGGTTTGTGTTGGGCTTGTGGTTGCGCGAGCTCATCACTTGAAAGAGCGAAAGTGGGAAAAGGGAGGAAGAAAAAAATGGGCGAGATGACGTACCTGGGGGACAGGGGGAGAGGAGTTCAGAGAGGCAGGAGAGAAGAGCGCTTGCCCTTTGTGCTGTGGAAGCCAAAAACGGACTGTGAGACTTGGCTGCCCGCTCTCTTTGCAGCTGGAGGACGCACCAAGTGCATGTAGTTTAGACGTAGAACCTGACAATTGAAGACCATCCCAATCCAGTCCAACGTTTGTTCACAATTAAAGCCTTAGCGACGAAAAGGCATTGGTGCGGGAACTGGTCTTGGAAGCGAAAACAGACCATAGGAGTAAAATCAGCAGCTACGTGGACGTGATGCTGCCTTCCGTTGCTTTTTTAGGCACTTTTGTTGTTTCACATGGTAATGTTTTATGGACTTCTTGGTTTTTTAGGTGTTAATGTTTTAAGGATGTGGCGTGTGTGTGTGGGAGGGTGCGCGCGCACGTGCGTGTTTGTGTAAAGGCAAAGCTTTGGGCAAGGAAAACAATAATAGGAATGCATTCAATAAATCATCCTTATAGAGAATTTCCCTTTGTTTAGCCAGCCGATTACTGACTGCAATCAATTATCTAGCCGCCTTGGGAAGGAAAGAAGGGAATTCGTTTGGAGGCCCTATGAGGTGTCCTATGATTTATGCTTTACTAAACAGTATGTAGTCCTCACACTTCCTGGAATGCATCAAGTCAGCACTGTTGGCTTGTTTTTGTTTTTGTTTTAAGCTTTTTGGGATAATACATATATAACGTCAAAATGACCATCCTAACCACTTCTAAGAGTACAGTTTAGTAGCATTAGTTGCACTCACATTGTTGTGCAACCATCACCACCATCCACCTGCAGAACTTTTTCATCTTCCCAAACGGAAACTCTTGCAGCCATTAAACAATAACTTGCTAACTGTCCTCTCCCCCCAGCCCTTGGCAACCATCATTCTGCTCCGTCTTCATGAATTTGCAGACTCTAGGTACCTCATAGAAGTGCAATAAGACAATATTTGTCTTTTTGTGGCTGCCTTATCTCACTTAGCATACTTGTCCTCTTAACGGTTCGTCCATGTTGTTGCATGTGTTAGAATTTCCTTCCCTTTTAAGGCTGAATAATGTTCCATCGTTTGTATGTATATACCACATCTTGTTTGTCCATCCATCCATGGAGACACTTGGGTTGTTTCTGCCTTTTGGCTATTGTGAATAATGCTGCTATGAACACGATATACAAATATCTGTTTAAATCTCTGCTTTCAGGGGCGCCTGGGTGGCGCAGTCGGTTAAGCGTCCGACTTCAGCCAGGTCACGATCTCGCGGTCCGTGAGTTCGAGCCCTGCGTCGGGCTCTGGGCTGATGGCTCGGAGCCTGGAGCCTGTTTCCGATTCTGTGTCTCCCTCTCTCTCTGCCCCTCCCCCGTTCATGCTCTGTCCTCTCTGTCCCAAAAATAAATAAACGTTGGAAAAAAAAAAAAGAAATTAAAAAAATAAATCTCTGCTTTCAGTTTTTTGGGGAAGTGGAATTGCTGGATCATATGGTAGTTCTATGTTCAATTTTTGAGGAAATGCCATACTTTAATGGCTGCAACATTTTATATTCCCACCAGCAATGCTCAAGACTTCAGTTTCAGGGCACCTGGTTTGCTCAGTGGGTTAAGTCTCGACTCGATCTTGGCTCAGGTCATAATCTCACGGTTTGTGAGATCAAACTTCGAGCACACAGCTTGCCTGGGATTCTCTCTCTCCCCTCCCCCCGCCTCCCATGTCTTCCTACCTGCCCCTCCCCCCCATGCATGTGCGTGCTCTCTCTCTCTCAAAATAAATAAATATTTTAAAAAAGAGTTCTGATTGCTCCACATCCTTATTAACACGTGTTTTTTGTTTTTGATAATAGCTATCCTAAGGGATTTGAAGTAGTACTTCACTGTGGTTTGATTTACATTTCCCTAATCTTTAATGATGTTGAGCATTTTTTCATGTGCTTATTGGCCATTTGTGTATCTTAGTTGGAGGAATGTCTATTCAAGTCCTATGATTTACCCATGTTTTAATAGGGTTATTTGTGTGTTTTTTGTTAGTGTTGTTGAGGAGTCTATATATTCTGGATAATAATCCCTTATCAGATATATATGTTTTGCAATTGTTTTCTCCCATTCCATAGGATGCCTTTTCATTCTGTTGATAGTGCCCCTTGAGACACAAACTTGTATATTTTGACAAAGTCTGATTTATTTACTTTTTCTTTTGTTATCTATGCTTTTAGTGGCATATCTGAAAAAACACTGCTATATCTGATGTCATGAAGCTTTTCCCCTATGTTTTTTTCCTAAGAGTTTTATTTAGTTTTTTTTTTAATTAAAATTTTTTTTCAATGTTTATTTATTTTGAAGAAGAGAGAGAGTGTGAGTGAGGGAGGGGCAGAGAGAGAGACACAGAATCTGAAGCAGGCCCCAGGCTCCGAGCTGTCAGCACAGAGCCCGACATGGGGCCCGAACTCACAAACCGCGAGATCATGACCTGAGCTGAAGTCGGACGCTCAACCACCTGAGCCACCCAGGCACCCCTATTGTTTTAGTTTTTAGGTTTAGGTCTTTGCTCCGTTTTATATCCAATGTATAATATATATGTGGAGAGAGGGCGAGGGATAGAGAGAGATTTATCATAAGATATTGGCTCACTTGATTATGAATGTTGAGAAGTCTCACAAGACGCTGTCTGCATTGGAGACTCCTGAAACCTGGTAGTGTAGTTTGAAGGCCTGAATGCCAGAGAGCCAATGAATTTACCTTGGTATTAAAGAATATAATTTTGTGTTTCATTCTGTACAGATACATGCAGTTAGTACACACTGCAAAATTCGGAATTTGGGGCATGGCAAGAGTTTGGATTTCTGCATTAAAACCAAAAAAAGCTAAGTCTATGAAAATATGATAAAGCATAGGATTTCAATTGCAATTAAAATGTATTATAATGGGAAAAATGGAATGTTTCAGGAAATAGTTCTGGCAGGACTCAGTTAATCTGGAGTAATATGAAAGTATAAAAAGTTCCCTCTTGAATATTCTGAATAAGATTCAGTTTCCAATCAATGGCTTTTTTCCCCTTTCATGTGCTCTCGTTATATATTATAATATTTTAGGTTGGCTGGGGGGAATCTGACTTTTTATTATATTAAAGTAGTAGATATTTGCATTTATCCCATGATTTCTGAGAACTTGCAGTTCTACGCTATGTGTATCTGCACATAAAATAAGAATCTAAGTGGTGCCTTAGGTGGCTCAATCAGTTGAGCATCCAGCTCTTGATTTCTGCTCAGATCATGATCCCAAGGTCGTAGAATCAAGCCCTGTGTCTGGCTCCGTGATGAACCTGCTGAAGATTTTCTCTCTCCCTCTGCTTCTCTCCCCTGTGCATGCTCTTTCTTTCTTTCTTTCTTTCTCTCTCTCTCTCTCTCTCTCTCTCTCTCTCTCTCTCTCTCTAACAACAAAAAAAAGGAATCCTAGTAATATGAATTTCACCTAGGAGCCAAGAATCTTCCAAACAAAACCTCAAAGCCAGAATTGCCTGTATTACTATTATTATTTTTTGTTAATTGGTGGAATTATAAAGTACAATAAAAGTATGTAGTTACCTCCTTGATCTTCATGCAGAAAAATAAAAAAAAAATTTGAGTGGTTAATATACTAAGTGGGAGTGTCAATTTTTTATAAAATATTTATTTATTTTGAGAGGGAGAGAGAGAGAGAGCGCGCGAGCGGGCTTGAGAGCGTGAAGAGGGAAGGAGCAGAGAGAGAGGGAGATAGAGAATCCTAAGCAGGCTCTGCATGGTCAGTGCAGAGCCTGTCAAGGTGCTCGAACCCAAGAACCATGAGATCATGACCTAAGCAGTAATCAAGAGGTGGATGCTTAACCGATTGAGCCACCCAGATGCCCTGGGAGAGTCTATTTGATGTGTATGATGCAAACTTTAGAATAGCAATCAATTATATTTTAAACTTATAAGAGAATGTTGCACATTGAAAATGACAAGAACTTACAGGTATGAAAAGATGCAAAAATGTAAAATTTTTGAAGATGAGGCCAGGATTTAACAAAGTTAAGAATGTATGCATTCAAATATAAAGATTCTGATGTGATTAGAAATTAAAGAGGAGATGAATTGATTTTTAGCTGGAAATCATATGAGCCTTGTACTTATAACTAAGTCATTATAGATGGACCCAAGGGTGATGACAAATAAACTATTGTATGGAAACAGATCTCCTAGGGTTTTTCCATATCTCAAGATAGAGGAGATCCTTCTGCTAGGAGGTAAAAACAGCTACCTATCTGAAACCAAAAGGAATCATTAGAAAGTTTCGAACTATGTTCAGAATTAATATTTGTATTGATACTGTATTATTTTTAACTTAAATTGTGGGATAAAGTAAATAAATAATTACATTAGTTTTATCAGGAAAAGGATTCGTATAAGATATTCAGTTTGGAGGAAATCAAGAATTTTAGTAGGAACCCTGACCTTTAGCAACTGGATTGGAAGTAGCAATATGATATTCTTTTATAAGAAAAACCTGTTTTGCTGTCCCACTGAAATAGCCCA